CTAAGACTGATTCTTCCACTGGTTTAGGTTATTGATAGGTATTTGTCAATCTATTTTCAGCAGCTGACAAGCTAGGTGGAATTGGAGTTGCCCCATATACATGTATCTGCCAATAGTCTTGTTCAAACATGGACAGAGCTGTCAGGACACATCAGATGTCCCTCCTGAGTAGAAAAACAAAGTTAACCATGAAAACCAATAACAAGCATTGATCTGAAAAATAAATACGTGTCAGAGAGACTCAGTCAGGGTACCCTGCAATAGGCAGAAACCAGACTCTGTCTTAATCATACTTCAAGGGATTGGGCTATTCCATCCTTTTACTACAGAAAAAACCAGTGGAATGTACTGGAAATGTCAGTTCCAGCTGTCCTTGTGCTGCAGAGGCTCTGCCCTGCCTGACCAGCCTGTGCTGCTGCCTGGCACTGCCTGCCTGGTACCAGGGTGTGTCTGAGCCAGAGCCTGGCACTCATGGAGGTGGTGGAGGAGGCTCTGACCCTCTTGGTCAGCCCTTCCATGTCCCCAGGGGAAACAGAGGGGAGGATAAATGAATGCTTGGCTTGCTGTTGGTGTTATGCTGTGTGTGCACCAGAAGCTGGTGAGGTTTCTTCTGACTGAGATCGTACAAACCCACGTACAGTGAAGAAAAGACTTTATCAAATATGGTACTTTAAATGTTATTATGGGAACAGCTCTGGCAATGGCATATCAGCACTTATTCAGAGTTTATTGCTAAATGCTCTGGGTCTCATGGTGCTATGTTATAAAACTGATATTATAGTAAATGTATTTTCAGTGTGTGACTTTTGCAAAGCCTAAGAGTAATTCTGGGAAAAGCAGACTTGTTCTGTCCCCATGGAGATGACAATTTATGGCACTAGAACTGCAATTTTATAGTGAGAGGAAATAACCACACTGTTTATCTTCATCACTTTTGGTTACTCTGTAGTGTTCTGGTGAGGAAAGCAAGAGAATCAGAAATCTGCAATGTAAAATTATGGCCACTTCTCATTCTGGATCCCAGTGATGGGCTCTTTATTTCTGCACTTCCCCATTCTTTGAAACAGTCTGTAGGAACTGATCCTCAGTGATGGGCTACATACTTTGCATGACATTGCTGCACTATGTCAGTAGATTTGCTTTGATTTGCTCTAGCTAAGGATCTGGTTTTGTTTCGTGTCTGTCTGGAAGGCATTATGGTTTTGTTTTTTTGTTCACTGCTGTCCTTGAATTCTACAACTAAATTTTAAAAAGACTGTAATTCACTCCTGTATTAGATAGGTTTTCCCAGTGATTTTTATGTCTGTTGATCTCACAGCTAAAACTTTAAAATATTTTTGATCTGGACAAGATCTTGCTCTGAGTCTGTGCTGATGACTGACAGAGGCCTTGCAAATGGACATGGATACAGAGAATAAATTGTCTGGTTTTTGTATTTTTCATTGTATGATGCACTTGACTTGTTTCATCCCTGTCACACCATGGATGTATCTACTGAGCTGACACCTTGATTAGTTGTATAATTACACAAGTGAACCTTTTTGGCTTCTTTGTTTTTTTTGGTTTGTCCATCTTGCTGACTGTTTCTGCAGCTGTAATCTGCATGGTGGGGTACTCAGTATGGCATTTCCATCCAGCCAAATCATTGCATTAGTTTTGCCTCAATGTAAAAGATCCAGACTAAATCTATCTTCTGTTTTCTGGCTGTCTGGCATTAGAGACAGTCTCCAGAGTGGTGTAAGACTTGCACAGCACCCAGGTGACATGATACCAGATATTAAGTAGTCATCCTTAATTTCACACTGGCCTTTACTGGAGTCAGGAAAGCCAGATACTGATTCTGCTTGCCCAAAGCCAGTCTCCCAGGGGAGCAGTGCTTGCTCAGGGCAGAGCTGTGTCTTCAGAATTAAGCAGGTGCGTGTTACTGAGATGGCACTTCATGTTCCTTTCCATTATATGAGGTTGTAAATGCATTTTAAGAGATTGCCTATTAATGTTGCAATAGATTATATATATATCTTGCCCCATTACCATAGCATTAACTGTTCCTAAAATGCTGGGAATAATTTTCTAATTTTTATTAACTAAAAAAATACAGAAGTGCTTCGGCAGGCCATGTGACTGTTGCTGCTGTGCATTGCAGTCGTGTCCCAGGGCATGCTCTCATCCTCCACACGCAGGTGTGTGATGGGCTCACAGCATTGCCCACCCAGTACTTACACTAGCCTGAAATAACCAATTCTGCTAGAAACTTAAAAAACTCTTCTAGTCAGGGCTGTAATTTGGGAAGTATTCAAGCTTTCTTTCTTGCACAGTGATAAAGTTGAGGCAGAAATACAATATGCTTTGTCATGTTTAAATTCTGCAGGCAACAATAACTGAGAAAAAAACCTGTATCATCAGTGTATTGTCAACCCCACTGGCTCTGATTCATATTGTGCATGTGCAGGAGGACCTCAGGCCCTGGAGAAAGGCACTGTGGCTCATTCCTAGAGGCTGGAGCTGGGATGGAGGCAGTGCCTGTTGTCCCAGGGCAGGGGTGTTCAGTCTCACTGTAGCTGGGGTTGCTCTGTCTTGCCATGGGGCTGGGAGGCTCTGGAGGGTACCCAAACCCCTCTTCATTCCCCGTCCTTGTCTCCCTGTAGGAAGTACTGCCAAGCACAAGGCATGTGCCTAATGAGCTGGACACTGCACCGGGGGCTTGGGAACAACTGCTGGGAGCACATAAAAGCTGAGGATGCTGGAAAAGGCAGCATTGTGCTGTTTGATGGCACCTGTGTGAAGGCTTTTTATTTTTCCCCTTCTGTGGCTGGAGAAAAGACACTTTATGAAAAGACATTTCTGCTTTATTTATAGCTCAACAATAATTTGATAACTATCTTTGCAGCTCATTGAGATCAGGAAGCTTTTTCAGGCACTGCTGTCAAGTGGTTTGCCCAGCACCAAATGCTGACTGATCCATCAGGGTGCTGCAGCCCTTGCTCCCCATGAGAAGCAATGCCTGGGAATGCAGTTTCACTTGTTTCAAAGTGAGTCCTCTCATCAGCAACCATGCTCCAAAATGTCAACAGGAACAATGATAGTACTGTCCAAAGGGACCCTTCCTTTGCAGACTTAGGGCTGGATCACTGGTGGACTGGTGCAGTGAAACAACTGTGATCAACCCTCTGCACGGGTTATTCTCAGGTATGTGAACCCTAGGCTGGACAAAAGCACTGCAGCTTAATGCAAAAATCATTGCCATGAAGGAAGCTTGAAGTACTTTTAAGCTTGAAGGTGACCATTATTAGAGTAGTAGGCATGGAGTTTGAGCATCAGAGTCTCACTGCTGTTCCCGTGGAGCAGCAGTGCAGTGTCAGCTCCCTGTTGGTAAATCAGTCCCAGCCTCAGCTGCTGGGACCTGCCGGTGCTTCACTAGTGTTGGCTGAAAAACACCTTGTCTTAGGAGGGAGCATAGTGGTCACATAGCTTGGCACTTGATTCTGTGTATTAGATGGTGTTTGTACCTCTCCCAATTACATTTGATTTCTTTATGCTGTTTAGTAGCTCTGTGCTGTGATGATAGTGTTGTTCTTTCCCCCTTGATGATGATTGTACCTCCTGTTGCCTCAGCTCTGACACATGCAATGTCTGACCTCAAACAGAGCTGGTGTCTTCCAGGTGATGTGTATTTGTGTCAGTCCGTAGGGTGAGGAGCTCCACTCATGTTTATGCTCCATTACTCACCCCTGTATTGTAGGAAGGAAAGTTGCTTCCTTCTGTGCTTTTCTCTGGGCAATTGTAATTCCACAGCTCAATAGCTCTGAATTTATTCAGCCTAGCTGGATATTATCAGGTTATTTTTATATATGTGGAGAGACACAGACAAGGAGAACAAGGGAGGAAGAAAAATCCTATTGCTCTTGTAGGGCTTACAATGGGATTTACACTGAAGCATGAAATTCTTCATATAAATATTTTAGGACTCTTATCTCTGCAGAGATTAATCTTAGAAATACTCCCAGGGGAAACGAGGGCAGCTTGTTCCTTGCTCTTCCTCACTTGCCCTTGCTGCACAAGGGGCCGCTGGGGGGTCTGTGGCTCTGGTTGTATCTCTGGAGACTTTCACCCCCATCGACTGGGACCAAACCTGGGTCACAGGAGCTGAGCGGTGCCCACAGCCAGGCATGAGGTCCTGGCTATGCCAGGAGTGATGGTGAGCACTGTGCAGAGAGTCCCAGTCCATGGCTCAGCTCAAGCCAGGAGTGACCATGGTGCCAGGCTCCTGAGGTGTGACTGTGGCAGTGCTGCTGTCTATACATATGTGTTACCTCCAGGACATGAAATACAGCAATGGAGTTTCAAAGGAAGCTGTAGCATTTAAAGATGGCCCTGGAAAGCACCTTTGCATGGAAATTCCAACTCAGGGTTATTCATGGGTTCTGATTTATTCATGAGATTATTAGTGTTGTCTGGGTTGTGCAATCCGTGCAGTCACACTGCCAAGAATTCATGGTTCATGGTTGTCTTCCTTCACGCTTTGTAAGAGGAGAGCCACATGATGGGGAAATCAGAAATAATATTAGAAGTTTTTCAAGGATTTAGTGGGCATTCAGGGCTTTGAGGCCTTTGTACCTTCATTGTAGAATTACCAACCTGGAGCAAAGAAATTTGACAGCCAGGTGCTTCATTGTTCTGGTGTTTTCTGTAAGAATTCTATTTGGAAACAGAAGAAAAAAAATCAAGAGTAAAAGGATAAACAGAGTGAAGATGAATTTAGTGTTACCGTAGCATGAGGCAGATGTGTTTATGCAGGATTGCAACTTAGCAAGTAGTAGGAAATGAGTTTGCTCACAGGGGTGCACTGAGTGCATTTACATGTACAGGGGTCTCAACTATGACATCAGATGTGATTTATGTACTGTTTTCCTTACACTTATCACACCTCACCCCTGTGAACGTGCCAGAGATCAACATCAAGGTCAGTGCAGAGATGTGCCTGATGTGATCCTGATGCAGGAATAACTGGAAAATGTCACTTGTCTCATGTGGCTGGAAGAATGCTACAGCAGGTACAGGCACCAGGAAAAGGTGGAGATGGAAATCTAGGGTGAGCTCAAATCTGTTGTACTGCTGTTTGACCTCAAAATCTTATCTGTTATGGGTTATTTCTTGTTCCAGCAAGTGGCATTTGGCCCTATTCTTGAAAGTTTCCTCATTCTTTTCTCCATCACTGACTGTGATTATCATTCAGTGGTCCAAAATAGCTGATTTGCATCCAAAGAAGCAGGTTTGCTGCAAACTGCTATGATTACAACTCTGCAGTGTCTGTTACAGACCATGTACATGCATTTGCAGAGCTGAAGGAGCCATGAAAACACTTGTCACAGCAGATGATCCCCTCAGAGGAGGTAATGGGCAAGAGCGAGAGGGATCCAGGGTGGGGCAGATCAAACAGTGAACCACATCCCAGTGAGAGCCAATGCAGCTGTGAGGCATCTAAATTTTTCAGGTCTGGCTCCCAGACAGCCTAAATGGCCAGAACAGATGGAAAACAACTCATGAAATTAATTAGCAAGGTAAGAAAAGGCACCTAATGGGTGCTTGCCCTGGAGCTGGCTCTGCTGCAGGCGGAGCGGGTGCATCCTGGGCAGTGATGAGGGCTGCTGGAAGCATTTGTGCACCTTTGACTTGTCCCAGGAGGGTAGTCAGCTTGTGTTTGCCTTTATAATAAACAGCAGAGTGCATGTCAAAAGTGAAGGGGCATTTAGTTGTTGTTGTTCCTAGGAGAAGCTAATTTGTGCCTTGTGCAAGCCAGTCCTCTGGGCGACTTGACCCTTGGTAGACTGTGGAGCTGAGCAGTGTCATTGTGTGTACAGCAAAAGGAAGCTGTGAAGATGCCAGGACAGTGTTGGTAGTGAAATCTAATGATCCATCATTGCATTTCCAAGGGAGAAGTATTCCTCTGGCTATATTTGTCATTTTTTGCAGGCTTGAGTAAGCTGGCCAGGCTGAGTCAGCTCACAGCACTCATTTTGCTAACCAGAAGGCAAACAAGACTCCAACCAAACACAGGAAGCAAGCATTTAATAAATACAATGTTATTTCTAAACATCAGCTGCTTAGAGAGGTAGATATTGCAATGCAGGTGTTGGGGATTAGCAGGGTTTGAGGGCACACTTTGAAAACACTTAGAGATGTTTGGAGAAGTTGGGAACTGCTTAGGGCAAAAGTTTCCATGACCTCTTTTTCTTGTTCCTCAGGAAACCACACTCTTAATTAATTTGTAAAACACCTTCACCACCGGCCCACTTTACTCCTACATTTGCAACAGTGTCTTTGGTTTTGGGTCACACACAGCAGAGCAAACTCCTTTTAAACAGCCCTTTTTGCAAAACGTGAATATCACATAAGAGCAAAATTGATTGCTGAAATAAAGGGTGATAGCTGCAATATTTTATATTTATACACTACTTCCAGGAGATCTGGGGAAGAAGTCACAAAACTCGAAAAGCATACGCAGTTTACTGAAAGATGGATTGTCTCTCAGTGTTTGCAGCACTCTTAGTTATTTATGATGTTTTTCATCCATTACATTGAATGTTTGCTTATTGAAAGCCACTTGCTGTTCTGGAGAGTGGAGCCCCTTTTGCAATGGAATGGGGCTGAGCTACAGCAAAGAAATTGGCTTGCAGAGCAAACAGGGAGAAGTGAGAAGTGCTTGACTGGAAAAAAACGATCTTAACCTTCCCCAGTATAAAAGTACTGGAAAAAATATTCTCACTGGGAAGCTCTAGTGTATGAAAGAAAATATTAATGGATAGTGTTCCCTACAGCTGAGCAGTCCTTTGATCAGCTCTTAGATTTGTGGTCACAGTGGGACTTGTTCTGCTGTGTTTGTAGCCACATCTAATGGGTTAGTGGGTTGGGTGCACTGTGCTGCTGGGTGCTGCTTTCTGGGGTAGGTATCCATATCCATACATTTCTAAGCACCTTCTTACCTTGTGCCATAACACATATTTGACATCAAATATGCTTATCTTCATAATGCATGCTGGCTGCAACCAGAACTGATCCAGCTTGTTTTACAAATGTGAAATGGGAGTGCAGTGTATGTGGGCTACAGGTGGTCTCTCCTATGTGTTTGGAGCTCTGGTGATAAGGGCTCAGTTGAATTCAGTGATGGGTGCCTCCCAGCCTGTGTGCCAGCCCGGATGGCACGCTCAGACCTTGTGTCTTGGCTCCATGCATACTCTTGCCCCTCTGCCATGGCATTGGGCATGTCTGAACCATGCTGGTTGGATGTGGAGCCATCAGTGCTGCTGCTTGTGAGGCTCTGTTTGTCAGCAAGTGGATCACCCCCTCACTGTGCTATCAAAATAGCTGTTTCCTGGGAGCCTTAAATCATTCTGTTTAAAATGCAGCATAATCATAATCCTGGTTTGCTCTTTTTTCCTCAATATCATTTTGTTAAAAAGAGCCTGAACAGGCTGAAAAGCTGACATAAATTTTCAGCTGACCTCTAGGTCTGCTGCCACACAGGGATGTGAGAGCAGATATGGAGGGAACACCTAAATTACACAAGGAAAAGGCATGTTTCAGCCGTGTGCCAAAGCAGGTGACACGGAGATCCTCTCGACACCCCTGCCTGTGGGCCTGGGGCTTGTCCTGGTAGCCACCTCCTCACTGGGGCTGGGGGGCAGGAGGGGAAAAGCTGTCTGAAGACCAGAGAGCCTCAAACCACCCTCCAGTCACATGCCCATCTTGTCTGCTAGGCTCCTGCAGCCACAGTGTGTGTTTCAGTTCATCTTTACTCAATGAATGTGTTTAATTTCTGTCACGACTTTGAAGAGACTGAAGAATGATAGTAACAGTTTGCTCTAGGGCTGAGATGTCTGGAATATAAACCCTCTCCTGTTACTCTCACTTTCTCCTGTGTCTCATGCATAACCACGTTCATGCACACTTTATTCCTTGCTGCTTACGGGAAAGAGAATGTTTTTGTCCCAGTCCCGAGCTGGACCACAGACCCCCTGCACTGTGTATTCCAGAGGAAAGGGAGACATTAAAGGACCAGTGCCCTCTGGCCTGTGGACACCTTTGAATTGTTGAATCCCCCAACACACGTGTGCCATGAAGAAGGGTGATGATTTCCAGGTGTGTGGAGCTGGTGTCCCCTGGCTGTCCCCTGTTCCAGCAGGTGCTCTGGGGGAAGCACTGCAAGGCAGCTGGCAACCCCTGCCAGCTCTGTAAACAGAATGGAATTGCTTAAAGCTCATTTTGTATTTTAATTGTGTATCAATTTCACATAGTTGCTGAGTACTGACTACTTTATGCATTCCTTATTGAACGAGCTAATGGTGTGGGGATAAATAATACATGATGGAGTATATCTTCATAGTATTAAATTTTTCTGTTTTACAACAATTTTAATACATCTGTGTACAAGTCAACTAAATCCACAGTTTATTCCTGATTACAATAATTATTGGGCTTCTGCACATGATGAAACCTAACAGAAAAGTCCCTGTAGCAAAGAGCAGGCTGGTGAAAGCCAGCTGACAGGAAGGTGTGCCCCAGCAGTAACTAGGATGGCTTGAAGCTTTTGTGTGAGCATTGGTTGGGTAAATATAAGTTTCAAAATTAAGCTTTTATTTTTTGACTCTGCTTAAGAAACCTGGAAAGCTGAAGTACAGCTCTGTCTGTAGACAAAAGTTTTGTCTGCTCACATGTTAAAATGCAGAGAAATTCGACAGACTTTCTGTAACTTTGAACTGAAACTACCTGAAGGTGTTCATTGGTTCCTGAGGTGAGGGCACAACCTGGGAAGAGCAAGGGACGTAACATGTCAGGGAAAACTTGAATTGTTCAGGGCAAGTGTCTGGGTTTGGGAGGTGCTGCTGGTGTACACCAGGATGCAGCAAGAGGGGCGTCCTCTGTGCTATTAACACTCAATCTTTAGATCTGTGTGTTGTACCCAAGTCTAAGCTCATTGCAAAGCTCTGCAGTGCATGACAAGTAATCTTATACATTAACTTGTCAAGTGGACTTCTTTCAAGTAATTTTAAGAGTTATTAATTTGGGAAGTCAGATGTTTCTTTCCCCAGAGCATATCTGCACACAGACACCTCCTGGCAGTGTGGTGAGGGGGTGAGTGCCCTGTGCCATGCCATGGCCTGCTTGCCTCAGTCTGTCTGGGCTCAAGCACAGTCCCATCAACCATAAGTAGTGAGCAAGAGGAAAGAAGAAATAATAAAAGGAGATAAATGAACTTACAAGAAAAGAGGGGCATAGGTAGGAGCAGTATTTAATTCCACTCTGAATAGATGGTGTGTTGTTTGTGTTTAAAGGCTGCAACAAGATAGATATCCTATTGGCAAATATCATTCCATCTTGTTGCCATGTTTTGGAAAGGGCTTCATGCATTTTCAGATTTGTACTGATAAATTGGAGACATTCATGTAAGTTTCAATTGAAATGAAAAATAGATGTTTCTTTCACAAGTCTACAAACTCTACTTGAGAAATGTCCTGGCCCTTGCTTAGTATGAAGCTGCAAGACGCTGTTTACAGCAGCCTGTCGCAGTGGACCAGGCAGTTCTGTGCAGTAATCAAACAACTCATGTTTGCTGACATGGCAATGCAGAGGAACATTTAAAATACTGAGACCTGCTGTCACCCTGAGGCTGGTATCCTCTCTTTCCAGCTCCCTCTGGAAAAGCTCTTTACCCAGTGTTCACAGCAGGTTGCAAGCTGGCTCCCTGTGTCCCCCAGTGGGAGCACTGATTTTGGCTGACAGCTGGTGAGATGAGTGGCCGTGTTTTGGTACATAATTTCTCATGGCAGTAGTTTTGCTATTGGATTTGTTTCTATGCTTTGATAAGTAATTAGGCACTGACAGCCAATAGAAAACATATTTCCACTTTTCCTTGTTAAACTGGATGCTTCTTTTATTCAGTTTATCTGTAATAGCAAACTGGAACCCCCCTGGGCTGGCTGGAATGGCCAAGGGAATGGACACAGTCCTTCAGAATTCAGTGAGGTTCCTCACCCATGAATGAGTCATTTTAGCACTTGTGGTGGTCCACAGGAATCCATAGGCTCATTCAGGTTTAGATGGCCATTACAGTTCTCTGTGAATCACCTCAAAAGGCACCAATTCTGCACGTACTGGTTTTGCACTCTCAGGCTGAACAGGTGCCCTCTCTTAGGGAGTGCATGGCTCTGGGGACAGACATGAACTGAACTTGGTGTTTCTGTAAGATTTGCTGTTTCAGCCAGACTAGTTGTTTTCTGTCTCCATTTGTGAGATCTTATAATTGCAATATTTCTGAGAAAGCATGGGAATACTGGTACTTACAAAATGTTGTGGCGTTCCATTTTGACATTTTTATTATAAAAAGCTGCTGTCATTTTGTTTGGAAGGAGTTTCTTTTTTCAGTGCATAGGTCATCAGTTGTAAACTCACTTTTATAAACAAAGGGCTGTAAACCAAGCAAATATTTTAAATATATGGAATGTGTTCCAAATAATCCCCAAAAGTACCTGAAGTCCCTGAAAGAGAAGTCACTGAAATTTTCACTTCCTGAAAACTTGCAATGTTTTTTACTTTCTGGTGTAATTATGGATATTTTTAAAACTCTTGTTGCCCAAATGAAATGGGAATCTATTTCCTAGCTAGCTAGAGAAGAAAAGCAGGGAGGTTGGAAACTCTAAAGCTCTCTGTGAAGGCAGAAGACACTGCTGTGCAGGAATTACTAAACAATAGAGAAAAGAACTGTGGTTGCCCTACAAATCTATATTTTTCATAAAGTAGAAAAGTGAAGTGGTCAACCTCTTTTATATTTGCCATGGCATAAGGTTAGCATTAGTCACCAGAGAAGTGCTTAAAAAAATCTTAATCCAGTTTAATTGTCAGTTGATGTCCAGAAGACTGGGAGAACCAAATGTTATCATCAGGTTCATCTTTGATCATCATCAGGTGCAGCAACTCATGGCTTCCCTTTATTCAAGGCACGTTCTGTCAGTCCAGCATGCACAGTCATTGGTTTCTGAGTACACTCTTGGCTATGAAG